AGTCACATGAACTAAAAGGCAATTGGGTTAGTTTCTACTTTTCTGAGATAATTTATATAAACATGTGCTTATTTTTTCTTTAATCCAGTTAAATATAGTCCTTATATATTTTGGCAACATTACCCACAGGTAGAAAAATATCACATACACATATGTACATAGACATTCACAAATATAGACAGCAGCAGATCTTACAGCTTTCATTAAGATTTTTCATTTGCCAGTTTCCAAATAGTTTCTCTTCCCCTTTCAGACTATCAATCTTTTAATTACTTGTTCTATTTTCCTAAGCAATTATTAGCTAGGCAACTCTAAAGTTATACCTCCAAAGATGTGACTCTTAGGTGGAAATTTTACATCTCAAAGGCACAGAAAAAAAAAATGCAAGTTTTTTCTAAGAAAGAGCTGAGGCCTTGCTGCTTATTAGCAGAGGTCAATTTTATATAGGCTATGGACTAAATTTAGGTCTGAATATCTCCACACCTCCTCTGGGTAGACAAAACATCCATTTCTGCTAAAAGTGAATTTGATGCATTTTCCTCTAATTTGGTCTCGAGGTTTCCCTCTGACGTGTGGCTACAAACTCTAAGCCTGACCTGATGAGCCTATCAAGGTAGCCACTCTCTAAGAGCCCTGATTTGGAGTAGAGTTAGGTCTGGGTGTGGTAGGTGAGACACAAAGGAGCATTCAAAATGGATGTTGAGGCAACAAGAGTCCTATGAACTCACTAGAAGATTTTTTTTTTTTTTTGAGACAGAGTCTCGCTTTGTTGCCCAGGCTGGAGTGTCATAGCGTCAGCCTAGCTCACAGCAACCTCAAACTCCTGGGCTCAAGTGATCCTTCTGTCTCAGCCTCCTGAGTAGCTGGGACTACAGGCATGCGCCACTATGCCCAGCTAATTTTTTCTCTATATATTTTTAGTTGGCCAATTAATTTCTTTCTATTTTTAGTAGAGACGGGGTCTCGCTCTTGCACAGGCTGGTTTTAAACTCCCAACCTTGAGCGATCTGCCCGCCTCGGCCTCCTATTCACTAGAAGATTTTACAAGGAAGTACACAGAGCCTAGGAGAAAATTCAGAAGCCTGTTCAAAACAACCAGCTGAATGCCAGAAAGGTATACTCTGGAGACCAATTTAGTTAGATAGGTGGCTTTTCATTTAGCTTCTGTTTCTTAACTGTATCACTGAGTTCAGGCTGGAGTCCATTGACGAATAGGGTAGACAAAGCGTTTTCTATGTCTGCACTTGGAACGGATAGCTATGAAAAAGAAGTAAACCTGCCTGACCTGTGGGCCTAACTTTTGTAACACTTTTCCATCTCTTTTTGTCATTGGGGTGGGGCAGTACCGAAGCCAAAAGGTTGGTAGATTCAGTTTGTCCCATCAATTAGTTACTTAAGTTTGTAATTTACCTTTTGTAAAGAGCCTTTTTAAAAAGGCAATAAAAAATTTCTGGTCTCTTTTTAGAAGTTTCTTTTTTTTTGAGACAGAGTCTCACTCTATTGTCCCGGCTAGAGTGCCATAGCTCACAGCAACCTCAAACTCCTGGGCTCAAGCGATCCTTCTCCCTCAGCCTCCTGAGTAGCTGGGACTACAGGCATGTGCCACCATGCCCAGCTAATTTTTTCTATATATTTTTAGTTGGCCAATTAATTTCTATTTTTTAGTAGAGACGAGGTCTCAGCTCTTGCTCAGGCTGGTTTCAAACTCCTGACCTCGAATGATCCGCTCACCTTGGCCTTTCAGAGTGCTAGGATTACAGGCATGAGCCACCACGCCCGACCTCTTTTTAGAAGTTTCTACATTCTACACATCAGTAGGCATCCTGGGTGGGCCTAATTCAGAAGCCCTCATTTTTAAATGCATTCCTTAAAGTACAGTGTCATTTATCTGGAACATTCCACACAATAGCCATCATAATTTTAAATTATCTTCAGTAAGATTTTGCCATTTTGATAAGTATTTGCAGCTTCTGGGGCCTAATACGTACACAAGTAAAAGGTAGGTGTAGCCAGAAGGTGGAGTACTCAGTTCTTTAGAAATTAAGGATCTCATGTTTACACTGAATCCTGGGTCTCTGGAAGGCAAGATAAAAGCCAAGAGGGAAACAACACAGGGTTGGGTTGTGTAATGCTTTTACATTGTACCTCACTGCACAGACATTTTCTTGAGGCTGGCAGGTGCTACCCCATTGTGTCTAACTTATCCTAACATCAGAGCTTATTTTTTGGTGGCCAGTGCTCTAATAGCTCTTAAGTGTCTAAACTGTTCCCACCAGTCAAGCTGTGGCTTTGGCTCTGAGATCCTCTTGACCAACTTAGCCAATGATTTTTTTCGTACTCAAGTTTAAGTAAAAAAAAAAGGAAGATGATAGAACTCAAATTCCTGTAAATTTCAAAAGCCAGAGTTAACAACCTTACAGTAATAACCATTTACTACAACCACTAACAGGTACCTTTAAAACCAGCTCTTAAGCCAGTCATGGTGGCAGAGCACCTATAGTCCCAGCTAATGGGGAGGCTGAGGCAGGACTACAGCTGGAACCCAGGAGTTCAAGGTTGTAGTGCATGATGATCACACCTATGAACAGCCACTGCACTCCAGCCTGGACTACAGTAAGATTCGGTCTCTAAAAAGAAAACCCCAAAAACAAACAGCCACTGTAAACAGCCAGTGTAAACCCCAAAACGTCACAGCACAAAGCCAAAAAGATCACATGCTTCAATGTAAAAAGAGGAGAGTCCAACCAGAGAGGAACTTACAACTCTTAGGGCTCTGTGAGAAAGAATGAGGACCTCAAAAAGCAGTCTGCAGTGCCTTTTCTAAGTTTATTCCTCAAGTGGTCTTGGGGTTATCAGCAGCGTCCTTCAGGTCCCTTTGTTGGTAGCCAGAACTGTCAAAAGACAGAATGACAACAGATTTAAAGATCTCAATCAGCTTTTATTTGCAATTCTAGAACTGGCCAACACCTCATTCCATAAAGTAGAATGACTATTCTTTTTTTTTTTATTATTTCAGCATATTATGGGGGTACAGATTTTAAGGTTTCAATAAGTGCCCATTTCCCCCCGTAGAATGACTATTCTAATGAGCTGAGTGAAGACGGTTGGCTTTATGGACAGAAAGGGCAGAGAAAATCAGAAGCAGAGAACAAAAGTGATTGGTCATCTCAAAGTTACTTTCCTTGTTTTTAAAGGTTAAAGCAGAGGGGACTTTCTTATCATGTCAGTTAAAACTAGCTTGTTTGGGGATTTGGCTATCTCTCCCTCTTCTGATTGCTGGTAATGTCAGATAAACAACTTGGTTTCAGCTTGGTGGCATGAACCTTCAGTATGAGTATTCCATTTTGGTCTGGTCTCATTGGTCTAGTGCAGAAGTGCAGCCCAAACCAATAACCTCTTGTAATTTTATTTTATTTATTTATTTATTTTGAGACAGAGTCTCACTCTGTTGCCCCAGCTAGAGTGCCGTGGCATCAGCCTAGCTCACAGCAACCTCAAACTCCTGGGCTCAAGCCATCCTTCTGCCTCAGCCTCCTGAATAACTGGGACTACAGGCATGCACCACCATGCCTGCTAATTTTTCTATATATTTTTAGTTGGCCAACTAATTTCTTTCTATTTTTAGTAGAGACTGGGTCTCGCTCTTGCTCAGGCTGGTTTTGAACTCCTGACCTTGAGCAATCTGCCCGCCTTGGCCTCCCAGAGTGCTAGGATTACAGGCGTGAGCCCCTGCGCCTGGCCTATAATTTAACATGCCTGAATATAAACTACAAGGTTTTCAACAATCTGTTTAGGTTTCTACTCCATTCAGATTTATACATTATAGATGACGGCTGCTGCAATTAAGAAAATGAGAGCAAAGAGTACATATGGGCAAAATTGGAGCCAGCAGGGTGGCTCATGCCTGTAATCCCAGCTGTGGAGGAGGATTCTTGAGTCAAGGAGTTCAAGGCTGCATATGATCCTGCCATTGCACTCCAACCTGGGCGACAGAGCTAGACCATGCCTATGAAAAAAAAGGAGCAAAATCTCCAACATATCTACAAGTGGTTATTTATAGTGATAATCTGTTATGAAGGCAAACCCATTTTCCCTCTTGAAAGGGAGGTTTAAGAAAAAGTAAATAAAAGTTCTAAGATTTCTAAATCTTACAAATGAATGATTCTTCTCTTTGATACTCAGGTTCATAGAGCCAAGCCAATCAGATTTTTTCTTGTTCTTTGCTTTCTTTTGGGCAGAGAAAAGGTATTTCTGGGAAATACTGAGCTTTTCCTTTTTTTTGTTGTTTGAGACACGATCGTACTCTGTTACTTGGGGCTGGAGTGCAGTGGCAAGATTATAGCTCACCGTAGCCTCAGAACTCCTGGGCTCAAATGATCCTCCTGCCTCAGCCTTCTGAGCAGTTAGGACTACAGGGACGCGCCACCATGCCCGGCTAATTTTTTCTATATAGTTTTAGGTGTCCAGGTAATTTCTTTGTATTTTTAGTAGAGACGGGGTCTCGCTCTTGCTCAGGCTGGTCTCGAACTCCTGACCTCGAGCGATCCTCCCGGGCCTCCCAGAGTGCTAGGATTACAGGCGTGAGCCACCGCGCCCGGCCCATATTTCATTTTAAAACAAGGTTCGTTTTCACTTATCTCAAGCGTTGGGGTGTCAAACCTCCTCAGAAATCACCCCGACGTCATTTTATAACCAGGGTATCAATTCCTTCGAGAAACGTCTCTTCTGCCCCTCACGTCAGGCGTTCCGCAGGCGCAGCTCAGGCTGACGGGAGACCTGCGCTGCAGGCCTCGGCCCTACGCAGAGCAGGAAGGCCGTCGCCTCATCTCCGTGCCTCAGTTTCCACCGCGAGCAGGCGCGGCGCTTCAGGCGCTCCGGCGTCCGGCCCCCGCGGACCGGGCAGCCCCGCCCCGAGGGCGGAGCCGCGCGCTCCCCTCCGCCTCCCGCGCCTCGCCGCTGCCGCCGGCGCCGCGGCGCATGTGCCCGCCGCGCCTCCCGGCCCTGGAGTGCACTTCCTCCCCGCTCGCGCTGCCGCCGCGGCCGCCGGTCCCCGCGCCGCCGCCGGAGCCCATGGCCGGGACGCGCTGGGTGCTCGGGGCGCTGCTCCGCGGCTGCGGCTGCAACTGCAGCAGCTGCCGGCGCACCGGCGCCGCCTGCCTGCCCCTCTACTCGGCCGCCGGCGCCTTCCCTTCGGGCGTGTCGGGCCGCCGCCGCCTGCTGCTGCTGCTCGGGGCCGCCGCGGCCGCCGCCGCCCAGACGCGGAGCTTCCAGGCCGGGCCCGCGCCCCCCGGGAGGCTGGCGGGGCCTCCGCCTGTGGCCGCCTCTGCCGCGGCCGCGGCCGCCACCTCCTACCCTGCCCTGCGGGGCCCGCTGCTGCCGCGGTCGCTGGCGGCGGCCGCCGGCCCGGCGCGGGGCTACGGCCAGGTACGTGGGCGCCGCGAGGGGCCGCGCACGGTGGGGACCCTTCCAGGGCCGCGCGCACGCGCCCCTCCGCCTGCGCTTGCGGGCGCGCCCGGGGAGCCGCGGCACGCGCCGCACACCCGCCCCCGCGCGCCCCGGCCTCCTATTGGGCCCCGGAACAAGGGACGCTCTCCCGGCCTCGGGGTGCCTCGGGTTTTGTTCTCCTCCTAGTCACCGGCCGGCGGGGCGTGCGCGTGCGGCCGGGTGCATGCGGAGGCCTCGCTCCCCGCCGGGCCCATGGTAGGTTGTGCGGGCCGGACCGCCGCCCGCATCCCTGTCGCTCTGCCCGCGCGCTGCCCGAAGTTGGGGCCGGCCCGCGGGCGGCGGGGGCTTCCGCGCGGCGGGCGCTAGGCCCGGGCGGCCTCGGCGCCTCACGGCCCCGCCGGGGCGCGGCTGGCGCGCGGCTGCGTGGGCGGCCTGCGGGAAGGAGCGTCGTCCCGGCGCGCTCCTCTGGTCGGGTCCGAGGAGAGGCGGGCTGCCCCAGCTCACTGAAGGTCACCTCTGCACCTCCGCCGAGTCTGACGGAGGTCCTCCGCGGCCGCGGTCGCCGTCACCTGAGAGGACCGTGCGGACGCCGATGGGGGAGGGGCGTGGGGACAGCGGCGCGGAGGCTCGAGGCCGCCACCGAGGCCCAGCTGTGCATCTACGTGGTTTTCCTTTCCTTTTTATTTTTTTTAAAGGCAGTGTATACTTTAAAAAAACTGAGATTGCAAATGTTTTGTGTCTTGTGTGTGACGCTTTCTCCTCTGCTTGTTACGTGGCATCCGGAAAGTGCACACTTTTTGACTCCCAGTCCCTGATGCCTTGGGTCGTAGTTATCTTGATTCAGTTCGTGCTTCTCCTTGAACTTACGGAAACGGGGGCTGGTCGGCATGGCTGCTGTCTGCCAGTGGCTGAGCTAATGGATTTGAATCCCGGCCCAATACTTTCTGCTGCCTTTTTCTGGAAAAGCTTGTGATGCTTATGGAATTCTGGGAAAATGTAGAAAGTTGCCTTTAAAAAAAACAAAACTGTCTCTAGTGAGTGTTTGTGAGCTGGCTTCTGTCTCATTTGTTTTCTCCTATGAAATTGGCTAAAGTCCTTGTTAGTATAGTGGTTAATGAAAATAATAGTAAAAAAATTAAATTTTAAATATGTAACAAATATATAAATTAAAAATATAAACCAAAATTGACTAAAGCGATATAATCCGTTGAGCGTTTACTATGTGTTAGACACTCTGCTTGCATTTTTTTGTTGACTCCTTAAAACTGAGCACAGGTCATCTTGAAAACGATGGATGATGTAAAGGTATCTCTGTCCTTAGTCCAGTGGGGTGCAAGTGTTAAAGCCTGAGTTGTCTTCCTAGGTTAAGATTGTGGGGCATGTTAGGCTTTTTTAAATTCCAGTTTTTGCTTAGTCTTATAAAATAGAGTTCTTTGGCTATGTCTCTGGCTCCTTTCGCCTCACACTGCTGCTGCTGCCTTTTATGATCTTCCCCTCATTCAGTTGGTCTGGCATACCAGCTGACAGATTAATCTTTTCAAGGCATCCTGCTGTCTTGTTGATTTACCCATTCCTCAGTGTCTTTTATTAACTTCCCTTTGCCTATCAAGTGAAGGACACACATTGAGCCCAACAATCAAGGCCTTCTGCTATATGGTACCAAGTTCCTTTTGCCAGCTCATCTTGGCTCCTAATTGTATCCTACAATTTAGACAAATGGGATTAATTGCTGTTTTTCAAGTGGGCCTTTGTTCATACTGCTGCTTTCCCTCACTTCCAAACGGGAATGCCCTGTCTTTGATATGTCCCTGTCAGAATTCTGTCCTTCCTTCAAGGCCCATCTTATATCACATACTGACTTTTCTGTTAGTGCTCTGTTTTGAATCCCTATAGTATTTGTATCCTAATTATAGTGCTTAAAGCATCCTGTCTTATTCTGGATAGTAAGCTTTGATATGAGGGCCTAATATGGTGCACTCGATGTAGGGGGCAATCACATGTCAATTTGAAGGGATCCTTCTTGTGCTGTTTTAAATAAACACTATTAGGTATAATTTGGGGCTGATGAATTTAAAAACAAGCCCTGAACAAAATTTATCTGGCCAGATCACTAGGATATACCTGCTTACTGCTTTAGGATGTACACTTGAATCCAAAAGAGGGTGAGTTAAGACTTACTTCTTGCCTCTGAAATAATGTTAACATCTGGAGTGTGTGTTTGTAGAAATAAACATTTGCTAAGTAGGTTGTCAAAGAAATATTTTTATATTTCTTCATTTCTCTTGGAAGGAGTCCAAAACTCCCTATCTAGAAGACCTTCCGTCACTCCCTGAGTACGAATTGGCCCCGTCCAAGTTAGGAGAGGAAGTGGATGATGTTTATCTCATTCGAGCTCAAGGATTGCCCTGGTCGTGCACTATAGAAGATGTGCTTAACTTTTTCTCAGGTATATGTTATGTATGTTTTAAATATGTAATTTTGTCTGAGTAAAAGGCAGTCTTTTTGCCAAAAAATCATATCAAGCTATGCAGTAGACATCCTCCTTGATGGCTGGGAGTTGTCTCATTTGAGCTCGTTTCACATTCATATCAAGTGACCCCATGTGTATTGTTTATGGTATATGCCAGATTTAAAGACTTTGAATACAACAGAAGTATTTATTGTTAAAACTACATAGTATGAAACAAATTTTCTTGGAAGTTTTAATATATACATATTAAAAAGCCAAACCTGTTAGTGGAAATAGGGGGTCAAGAGTAGCTCTTTATGTAGCACATACGTTATAGAATGCTAGATGAAGTGATAGAGTTTATCATATTCTCTTAATAACATGGTTGGAAGGTTTACCAACCTGTGGGTTTTTTTTTTTGGTTCTGTATCTAACTATGATTTTTAATTTTCTTCTTAAGATGCTTTTAGAAGATGTCACATTAAAGTGTTGTTAAAGGGCCGGGCGCGGTGGCTAATGCCTGTAATCCTAGCACTCTGGGAGGCCGAGGCGGGCGGATTGCTCGAGGTCAGGAGTTTGAAACCAGCCTGAGCAAGAGCAAGACCCAGTCTCTACTATAAATAGAAAGAAATTAATTGGCCAACTAATATATATAGAAAAAATTAGCCAGGCATGGTGGCACACGCCTGTAGTCCCAGCTACATGGGAGCCTGAGGCAGGAGGATTGCTTGAGCCCAGAAGTTTGAGGTTGCTGGGAGCTAGGCTGACGCCATGGCACTCACTCTAGTCTGGGCAACAAAGCGAGACTCTGTCTCAAAAAAAAATAAATAAAATAAAGTGTTGTGAAAGGATGGAACTGAATCTATTAACTACCTTAATGTGCATAGCATTGTGTGAGTCAGGCATTTTATAAAGCCACTTAAGTATGGGATGTCTTTCCTTGATAATGAAAAGAAGGAAAAGTTAAATTATGATAGCAAAATTATTCTTACAGGAGATATTTTAGAGTCCTATGGATATGTTTTTAAAGGAAGACACTTATATATAAACCTAACCATATTTTAATTCCTAAAGTGATTTGAAACTGATTATAGAGACACTGGAATGGATATGCATTTTGTGGTGAGCCTAGCCTGATTTACCATTTAACAGCCAGGAAGGAGATCATAAGTTTACATACTAAGGTTTGCTTTGCTTTTCTACTTGGAACATTTTAGGGACTACAGCCTTTATTAGCGTGCTTGAATGGCTTTGATGATGGGGTTTATGTAAAGAATATGACAGATGTTTGGGTTCCTGTTTGTTGTTGGAAAATTGTATTATAGTGACTTGTATGATTGAGCTAAAGTTTGATTTCTGTTCTAAATTGGTTTTGCTCATACACTTTTAGACTGCAGAATCCGCAATGGTGAGAATGGAATACATTTCCTCTTAAATAGAGATGGGAAGCGAAGGGGTGATGCCTTAATTGAAATGGAGTCAGAGCAGGATGTGCATAAAGCCTTAGAGAAACACCGCATGTACATGGGTCAGCGGTATGTAGAAGGTATGTGAAGTCAGATTCTGGCTTTTTGGGATCATTGCATTAGATTTTTATACTTTTCAAGCCAGTTTTCATTTGATCCTTAACTATGAAGTAGTTAGATATTTATGAATGCATTATTTTATGTTTGATCCATAGCAATAGTGAAGTAGTTTGATGTTATGAATGTATTGTTTTATAGCTTGTGAAAATGAAGCACAAAAAGATAGAGTTAGTTTCTTATCTATAAAAGGAGGATTGTGACCAGGTTTATCTTAAGAGTTCTGAGGATGAAACAAGTTATGCCTCGTACATAGTGAATATTCAGTAAATGTCATTGGCGATTTTCTTAAGAAGCACATAAAGATTAAAATTATTAGGTTTTTAAATTCTTGGATAACCCATCAAGTGGTAATGTATTTGATTTTTTTTAAAAATTGGTTTCTTCCTGTGTTATGTAATTTTGCATGCCTTTTGTGCTTTTTCTTTGTAGTATATGAGATAAACAATGAAGATGTAGATGCCTTAATGAAGAGCTTACAGGTCAAATCTTCACCTGTGGTAAATGATGGTGTAGTTCGTCTGAGAGGACTTCCTTATAGTTGCGATGAGAAAGACATTGTAGACTTCTTTGCAGGTGCTTTGCAGTTACATCACATTTGGGGCCTCATACCTTTTTTCCTCATTTTACCTCCATTATTTCCTTCTATACCTTAGAAGACCCTTTTCCTAGGTAACAGCATGTAGTTATAGTAGGTTCTTTAGGGGAGAGCTCTTCTCTTAAACTTCCAATATATAGATTTTATGTATGTTTTGATGTATCAGGCAGATCTTTAGAGGGGATGTCACATTTCAAAATAATTTGATGAGGGTTTGTTTAACTACTGAAGAAATATCTATAGTGGCCATATTTGTCTAAGACAATAACAATTTATATAATTTGTGAAAGCCTTATCTAATTCCTTGCTGTAAAATGTACACCATTGGTAGTGATATTAGTCTAATTTTGGCTGGGCTTGGTGGCTCATGCCTGTAAACTAGCACTTTAGGAGGTCAAAGTGGGAGAATTGCTTGAGGCCAGGAGTTCAGCCTGAGCAAGAGCAAGATCCTATCTCTACAAAAAATAGACAGATTTGCAGGGCATAGTGGTGTGCACTTGTAGTCCCAGCTCTTCGGGATGCTGAGGCAAGAGGATCATTGGAGTCTAGGAGTTTAAGGTTGTAGTGAGCTATGATGATGCCATTGCATTCTATCCAGGGTGATACAGTGAGATCATGTCTCAAAAAAAAAAAAATCTCTAGTTTTTCCTAATATGTAATTAATGACAAAAAAGAAAAAGTAGTGGAGACAGTTATGTGTTTTAGACGGGCTGCTTGGACCCTAAACATTCTGGAAATATAGGTATGTAGGTGCAAATAACTTTTGACTGCATAATAATATTCTCCTCATTAAGCATGCAGTCATATAATCAAATATTGTGGGACTGGCAAAACATAAAAATTTCATTAGTACCTGAATGAATGTGTTAATTCTAAGGATAAGAAAAGCTTTTGTTAGAAGCCCTAACTTGTAATAATTTTGTGGTGTCCTAGGACTGAATATAGTTGACATTACTTTTGTGATGGACTACAGAGGGAGAAGAAAAACAGGGGAAGCCTATGTGCAGTTTGAAGAACCAGAAATGGCCAGCCAAGCCTTGTTGAAACACAGGGAAGAAATTGGTAACCGGTGAGTGAAGCAGATGCTAACGATGCATAAGTATCACACCTCAGGTCACTTTGATGAATGCACTATAGTAAAATTACCCCAATATAGAAAACTAGAATAGTATGATGAGCCATCAAATGCCTATCACTTAGATTTAACAGATTATTGACATCTGTTATATTTGCTGCATCTGTTTTTTCAATATGCATCTTTAAAAAGAGACATTTTCTTATACCATCATTATACTATATCTAACAAAATTAGCAGTGACTTATCATCTAATAACAATTCATAATCCCATTTTCCCAATGATACCAAAAGTATCTTTACAGTTGGTTTGTTTGAATCAGAATCTAGACAAGGTCCACATGTTACATTTGACTGTCACGTATCTAATACTCTTAAACCAGAGTAAATTCCCTTCTTAATTATTTTATTCCTTACCCCTTTTTAAATGCAATTGACTTTTGAAGAAATTGAGTCAGTTGTCCTGTACAGCGTCTTATGGTCATATCACATCAGGATGCGTATAATAAGTGGGTTCCTTGTGTTTTAACTTTAATTTTGGAAGTACAGTAAAAAATGTCAATTTTTTTTTTTTTTTTTTGAAATAGTCTCACTCTGTTGCCTGGGCTAGAGTGCCATGGTGTCAGCCTAGCTCACAGCAGCCTCCAACTCATGGGCTCGAGCAATCCTCCTGCCTCAGCCTCCCGAGGAGCTGGGACTACAGGCATGCACCACCATGACTGGCTAATTTTTTTCTATATATTTTTAGTTGGCCAATTAATTTCTTTCTATTTTTAGTAGAGACAGGGTCTCGCTCTTGCTCAGGCTGGTTTCAAACTCCTGATCTTGAGTGATCCGCCCGCCTTGGCCTCCCAGAGTGCTAGCATTATAGGCATGAGCCACCACCCCCGGCCAAAAATGTCAAATTTTATTTTATTTTATTTATTTCTTTATTTTGATTTGGGTAATTCATTATAAATTTTTTTTTTTTTTAAATAAAGTTCTCTATCTAACCCTGCTGACACCTTCACTCCATTCATGTCCTTTCACCCTGAGCTTAGCCTGCTCCAGCCTTGCTGGGCTTCTTGCTATTTCCCCGAGTGCCCGCCAGCCTCAGCCCTTGTGCTTGCTGTTACCTTTGCCTGGAGTATTTTCGGGGTAACTCAGCATCACATGGCTACCCTTTCATACACAGTCACTGCCGCCTCACCCAGCTCTTTCCTGACTGCCAAACCTCGGGGGGCCCCTCTCCCAAATGTCAAATTTTAAATCACCATGTTGCTGCTTTCTGGCCTTCTTTTTTTTTTTTTTTTTTTTTTTTTTTTTGAAGACCCAGATTCGCTTTGTTGCCCAGGCTAGAGTGAGTGCCGTGCGTCAGCCCTAGCTCACAGCAACCTCAAACTCCTGGGCTCAAAGCATCCTGCTGCCTCAGCCTCCTGAGTAGCTGGGACTACAGTCATGTGCCACCATGCCCGGCTAATTTTTTTTTTTTTTTTTTTTTTTTTTTTTTTTTTGAGACAGAGTCTCGCTTTGTTGCAACAGGCTAGAATGAGTGCCGTGGCGTCAGCTACTCACAGCAACCTCAACATCCTGGGCTCAAGCAATCCTGCTGCCTCAGCCTCCCGAGTAGCTGGACTACAGCATGGCCACCCAACACCGGTAATTTTATATATATATATTAGTTGGCCAATTAATTCTTTCTATTTATAGGTTAGGTTAGGTACCACACCGGCTAATTTTATTATAATATATTGGCCAATTAATTTCTTTCTTATTTATAGTAGAGACGGGTCTTGCTCCTTGTCAGGTCGTTTCGAATCCACCTCGAGCAACGCCCGCCTCGCTCACGCAGTCTGGATTCAGGCTTTGAGCCACCGCGCCCGGCCTTTTCTGGCCTTCTTAATCAGCTACATTGAAGTTAAAAAAACAAACAAGCTATTCCAAAGCTAGTGTATTTCAATATCTACATATAGAATTGGTTCAAAGATCTTTTTAAAGAAATGATACTAATTTTTATAGGTCTATAAATACAAATGATTTTTACAACTCACATTTAATAACCTGATTTGGAAAAGCAGTGTTAAGAAAAAACTAGATTCAGAAGCTTGCATTTAATAGATAGTCTCACTTGCCACTATGATAGCAAGTCACTTTTGACATTTAGTTCTTGAATCCTCATTAGCTCCTTAGTGAAGGTTTGGAGACATTAGGTCTTCTATGCTGTGACTTTTAATATCTTATACAAATGTGCTTTATTTTCACAGAATTGAATTGCAAGGCTGCAAGAGATTGTTAGCCACTGTAAAACAAACTTCCCACAAAACCTTACCTGATTACTTATTTTCTGTATACATGGTTAACCTTGGCATAGTTGTCCTCATGAAGTAAAACAGTAGAAAATATTGTTAAAATGTATATGAAAAAAAGTGTTCTCTTGGAGCAAAATATTTAAAGTTTAAAAGTACTTCGTTGAGTACTTTTTCATGGGCTAATGTCTGTATCCATTATTTTTCCCCTACCTGTTATCTTTGGGCACCTGTGTTTCCTAAGCTGTTGGAAATATAATATATACGTGTTTGTTTTAAATGAGTTTAGTATAAAGTTACTTAACATTTTTGTGCCTGTTGACTTTTGCATTGACGTAGATATATCGAGATATTTCCAAGCAGAAGGAATGAAGTTCGAACACATGTTGGCTCTCATAAGGGAAAGAAAATGGCATCTTCTCCTACTGCTAAGTATATAACTGAGCCCGAAATGGTCTTTGAAGAACATGAAGGAAATGAGGATATTCGACCCATGACAGCTTTTGAAAATGAGAAGGAAACCGGTAAAGTCCTGCTTCTTCTTAGGTTCTTTGCATCTATCTTCTATTTTTTGACTTTTGTGAAACTGTTTTTTTTTTATATGACTATATTGTATGAAATTGTAAGACTGTAGGACAAGTAGATTGAGTTAAAGATTTAATGTCTGAGTGTCGTGTGTACTTTCTATGCATAAGGGCTTAATTATTTTGCTAGATTTTTAATTGTTTTGTAGACTCTGCATTAAAAGCTGAATAGTAAAAATGTAATAAAAGGGAGTAAAATGTCAGCATTTGGGTGGAAGGAAAGATTGGGTAGAGAGGAGGAATATTTATTGAAGTAACGATTTTTTATTTTATCTTCCCTCTATTGTTATAAAAAGATAAATTCTTAATCTGGTAATGATTTTAAGCACTAAATGCTTATGGGTGCTTAGGTGATACTTGTTAAGTAGCAGAAATTTTGGGGTTTAAAGCCCTTCCTTACTGGTTCAAGAGGAATGGAGGATTTTACGTAAAAGTTAATACCTAATTACAATCTGTTAATAACTCTTGAAGCTTTTATGTTCTTCACAGTGCTTTTTGTTCTACCTTTCAGAATTACCTAAGGAGATGTCAGAAAAGCTTCCAGAGGCTGTTGATTTTGGAACTACGCCTTCATTGCATTTTGTCCACATGAGAGGATTGCCTTTCCAAGCCAATGCCCAAGACATTATAAATGTGTGTGGCAGTAAGATATCCAATCTCAATAGGTTTGAACAAAAGTTCTAAAATTGAACTTGTATAATATTAATTTGGGGAAGATAGAAAAGAAAATACAGTATTTCTGGAGTATCTTTGGAGAATAAGATGGCATCTCCCTGGTTGCAAAGGCTTGCTTCATATTCTGTAGCTGAAAACTGTGGCTTTTTATTACATTTTAAGGTCAAAAAAGAATAAGTATTTTATAGGTACTAAATAATATGGTATAGATTTACTATTCAAAGTAAGAAAATTTGGTTTTAGAATAAACTGGCCATTCATTGTTTAGTTTAGGAAACTGAGACCTCCAAGGCAGTTGGCCACAACTGCCTTGTTTAGAAACGAGAATCCAGTACTTCTAAATGCAAACAAAGCCTTTACTGACTTCATAAACTTAAGAACATATAGGTAGATCCAAACCTAGAGTTTTCAATTTAATAGTGGGACCTCAGTTGTCGTCACTATTTCAAAAAGCCTAATAGGAATCATATCTTTCCCCATATGAAAGTTGTACATTCTCATTAAATCATTATGTTTAGATTTGGTTTGGAATGATAACCAGTCAATGTGGTAGCTCTGATAAGAATCTGACTATCGGCTACATGTCTGACTAAAATCTGGTTAGAACCATTGTTAAGTGATTATGTTTGATGGACACTCTTTTAGAAACAGGGAAGGATGTGTGTGGGAAGACTAATAAAAGTAGTCACTGGTTTTTAAAAAATGTTTGAGAGAACCATTTGTGTAGTCATTGTAGTTTGGGGTTCTCTGAGAACAGATACTTGAAATGTAACTTTGAGTTCTGAGAAAAGTCATAAAAGCCCAAAGAGATGGCAAATGTATAACTACTTTATTGCTTAAAGAGGGTATTCCCTAAAAACATACATCAGGTGTATGAATCAAAGTCTGAAAGAAAAATGAAGAGCTACTAGACTTCTAGAAATTAGGCCTAGTTCCATTGTGTTCCTTTTGGCTACCTTTGTTGTTTAGTTTTTTGCTCCACTGAAGCCAGTTAGAATCACCATGGAGTACAGCTCCAGTGGGAAGCCCACTGGAGAAGCTGATGTGCACTTCGACACCCACGAGGATGCTGTCGCTGCCATGCTCAAGGACCGGTCCCATGTTCGTAAGTACCTCTTGCAGTTTTCATTATTGTTATTGATGTTTATCTTTGCCTTCAAATGCCGATCTGTTTGGGGATTAGCCCAGAATTTTTCCTAGGATAATTTGTATTCTTTTAATATTACTAAATTAATTGTAAATAATTGAACACTATATTATAATGAAAACCATTTATTTGTCTGCTAATTATCCTGCATATTTCTTTTTTGTTTTTTTTTTTGTTTTTTGTTTTTTGTTTTTTTTTGAGACAGCGTCTCACTCTGTTGCCCGGGCTAGAGTGCCATGGCGTCAGCCAAGCTCACAGCAACCTCAAACTCCTGGGCTCAAGTGATCCTCCTGCCTCAGCTTCCAGAGTTGCTGGGATTACAGGCACGCGCCACCATGCCCGGCTAATTTTTCTATATATTTTTAGTTGTCCAGCTAATTTGTTTCTATTTTAGTGGAGATGGAGTGTCGCTTTTGCTCAGGCTGGTCTCGAACTCCTGAGCTCAAACAATCCACCCACCTCGGCTTCCCAGAGTGCTAGGATTACAGGCATGAGCCTCCACGCCTGGCCTGTCCTGCATAATTTCTGTGCAGAGTTAGGAAGGGTTTTTTAAGTCTGTTTTTTGATTTTGTTGTTAGGGAAAGGAAACGGCAGAGGGTTTGAGTTGCTCTCTGAACTATGAGAAACATGGCTCCAATATTTTTTCTGCCATTTCAGCTTTTTAAGACTAATCTTGTTTTATTATCCTCAGATCATAGGTATATTGAACTGTTTCTGAATTCATGTCCAAAAGGAAAATAAGACTTCCAGGGTTCCAGATGATAAATAAGGTAAATTTAAGAGGTGTACAACTGTAGAGATTATTTTCAATCAATAAATTAATAATTATCAATTCACTAATTTGTGACATGGAGAAACCATTCTGTTTTTAATAAAGATCAAACTGGACATAATTGGAGCATCAATATAGGGAATGAAAATTCTCCTGGGAAATAGATTTCATTATGATTATATAGTAGCTTTGAGCATTATCCCCATATACAATTTTTATGCATAATTCCTAACATTCATCATGCTGTGTGCCTAAAAATAACTTTATAGCTTACCTTAGTAGCTGTAACTCATAATACACTGAAAATGTGCCTTGCATTAGCTTTTCTTCCCACTAAAATCTGAACACATTTCCTCACTTCTAAGATATTTTGAAGTTTGAAACCAGGGTGCATCATCCATGTGTGCAGTTACGGTGCCTCTGTCTCCTTTTCCTAAGTTGGTGTTATGAAAATGATTTTTGTCTTAGGACATACGTGGTTTTATAGTGTTAATTTACCTGTGATAAATTTGCCAAATATGTCTTGACATCCCTCCCCTTGACTAAATAATGTGGTGTCTTCCCCCACATAAAGTAGTTTAATATACTATTATAATCATGTTTCTGCATGTAATGCTGTATTCTTTTGAGTCACTTAACTGTAAAAATTTCTTGAAAACACATGAAGCATTCTATTAGGTGTCATAGACTATTTTTGGATATAAAAGTCCAACAACCCTGTGATGTTAATAAACATATTAGCCACAATCTATGTAAAATATATTTTGTGCTTAATTCTGAAAATCTATCTTCATCCCAGGCTTTGAACACTAATGCCTAACTAATTTTCCTCACCTTAATTTATTTGTCATCTAACTTGTACTCTACCAGAAAGAAAAATAAATTAAACTTGTAATTTTAAATGGTATGGGAACTTGTGCTTTTCTTTTTCATTTTGAGTAAATGTGCAACATTTCTTGTTTTATTTTCAGGATGAAGCAAGAAGCATTTCATTTGCACATCTTTCTTGGACATGGGATATAATGTTCCAGTTTATTAGCAGCAACTGCTAGAGAAAGGATTTTGGTGTTTTGGGTTAATTGCTTCTAAGAAAAATTTCATAGTGGACTGTTTAGAGACAGAAAGGAAAGATTCAATTTGGGATTATGAACTAAACCACAAATTAAAATTTTTGTTTAAATTGTCTAGGATCTGATTTAAAAATCTGGTCTTTATTTTATGTCATTAAATAGTTTGTTTTCTTAGAAGATAATGTTACCCATTGTAAAAACTACATATTTTTAATCTGTGCTATTCTTTAAAATCTTTCTCCCATTTAAAAAATCATCTGTTCAAGGTTTTGTTTTTTTGTCTATGAATTGAGAGCTGTGATGTAAAACTTCTCATGGAGTAAAATAATGATTTATTTTAACCACACATTCACCAAAGCAAAGAAAGGTTTCAGACCTTTGAACCAGTATGGTTTTCCAGAATAGTTTCAATTTTAGCTGTATTTGATTACTTAGGGGAATTAAAAAAAATACAAATCAAAACAAAAAATACATACTACAGGTTAGTGAGTGTAAATAACAATTTGGCAGTTTTATGTCTTTAGAAATGTTTTGCCTTTCTAAGTCCTGTGCTGAAGGCATTTAACATTGGTGCCAGATCTACTCAAGGGGGCATTCTAGTCTTAACTTAAAAGTTGTCTGACCCACCCCCATCCTCTTTTTTTGGTTTTGAGTAAACCTTAAGGGTGTTTGTTAGTCACAAAACTGTGAAGTGACCTGTCAGAACAGTCCAGACTGGTAAGGACATTAATGGCTTCACTTGAATTTAAACCAGCTCTAGATAGGAAAAAATCTAAGTCTCCTCATTTGCTTTTTTAATGGGGTAGCACATCCCATATTTTAGAATAAGTAGGGGTGCCTTGCTTACGTAAAAATAGCATTTAATGTATAATTGTGTGAAGGGTTTATGGATAAAAAGCTGTACTCCTGTCACATTGTGACAGTATTTTCTGCTTTAATATTAAACAGCTTGTTATTTAAATATTGGACAAAATGGCTGGCTTCAAAATGTAGTCATTAATAAACTAACTTTATGTGTACCTGTGTAGGGAATCAAAGTCCTGTATACTTTCTTTGCCTTGTTCCTGTTCTCAGGGTGACAACTGCCACCAAGAGATGCAGTTCTAGTTCTTAAAATTGAATTTACCGAGATTTCTTAGAGGTGATATCTGGAAGAGAGATTATCTTCTCTCACTTAATACATAACCGTCTTTGAATACCAGCTAAGAATCAAAATCACTGTACTGTAAATAGTCAATAAATGAAGGTTTGTTTCAGGCTGAAGATTACCTAAGAGTATTTATTATTGGAGTGTGTGAGTCAACTGAATATATTTTTTATTACATCAAGTCCTGGTATATTAATATAAGATGAAATGCTAAAGTTTTGGTTGTGGGGTTTTTTTTAATCATCCTATAAGGACGTGACTTAAACGGCTTAACATCTTCAGTAGTACTACTTAGATGGAGATGTGTTTTTACGTATGGTTGAATGTACTGAGTTCTGAGAATTAGTGTCCGTAGTTGTGCCATCTGTTAGCATGTGATCCTTTTTTCTCCCCCTTTAGCAGTTGATATCTAATTTACTATGGAAAAGATCATAGGGTTTATTGGGATTGGGGTTAGTGAGGAATTAATTCATTTGCACTGACTTTATTTTAAGCTAATGAGTTTCATTTGCACATCTCTGGAAAAGCAAAAGCATTAAAATGCTGTGTGTGTTGGGTAAGCTTAAAGGATCCATCTTTTTCTCACACTAGAGGCTGACTTCTCAGTATAAAAGGTGGCCATTATTAAGAACTCATCTTAAGAATTTGAATACTCTCATCCCTTTATTGATAATATAGGCTAGTAAATGAGTGATTACTGATAAAGCAGATGTAGTTACTGGGAGAGGAAGAGAAGCAGGAAAATGGAATAAAAGGAATCTTTTATTTCTGTGCAAGCAGAAGACAAATTCGTCTTCCCAAATTTGACAGAACTGGGTTGTGCTATTTGCTATTGACGGAAGTAATGATAGTGAATTTCCCTTTTCCATTTGGGTTTCTTATGTCTTTATGATCTCCTTTGTGGTAAAGCTGTTAAAAAGAATAGTGGGGTTAGGTATGGTGGCTCACGCCTGTAATCCTAGCACTCTGGGAGACCGAGGCAGGCAGATCGCTCAAGGTCAGGAGTTTGAAACCTGGAGATCCTGTCTCTACTAAAAATAGAAAGAAATTAATTGGCCAACTAAAATTACATATAGAAAAAATTAGCTGGGCATGGTGGCACATGCCTGTAGTCCCAGCTGCTCAGGAGGCTGAGGGTGGCAGGAGGATTGCTTGATTAGCTAGTTTGAGGTTGCTGTGAGCCAGACTGATCCATGGCACTCTAGCCCAGGCAACAAAATGAGACTGTCTCAAAAAAAAAGAGAAGAAAGAATAGTGGGATTGGGTATATGGCGCAGGATGCCCATATCTTGATTTGCCTAGCCTACTTCTCAAGGAATTACAAGGGAGAACTCTGAGAAGTAGTATGTAAACACCAAGGAGAAGACTGCTGAAGATTGTCACTCTGATCCTGAATATATTCACTGATACCGGAGAATGAAGCAGGACCGAAGTGTTTGTCCTTTATGCCTAAGTGGCTTGAGTTCTGCCACATGGGTAGGGAGACAGTCTGCCTGGGTGGAAGGCTTTAAATCTCTTACTACTACCTAAGGAAGGAAGAAAGCCTAAGGAAACCACTTCCATGTAGGTATGTGGGTAGTGACCTGCTTATTAATCACACAAGTCCCTTAGCATCTCTACGCTAAACAGTCCATATTGGTTATCATTTGGAGATTTGTTTTCTTTTAGGTTACATCCTGTTGATTTATAATTTAGAACGCTTTATTCTGAGAGTTTCCCCTAATTATGTGAAGGCATTCACATTAATCGGTAGGACCTGTATTATTAGAGTGGAATGGTATGTCTCAGTAGTAAAGTAAAGGCAGACGGAAGTTCCGGGGCTGGGACAAACAAATTGCTCAATGTAGAATACAATACCCCCCCCAAATTTAGCAGATCAGAAATAATCTCTGACGTTTGTAGGAAGGGTATAAACTGATAAATATTTATGTGCAGGGTTTTTGTGTGGAGGACATAAGTTTTCAACTCCTTTGAGTAATATTAAGGGCAGGATGCTGGATTGTATGGTAAGAATTATTTAGTTTTTAAGAAACTGCCCAACTGCCTTCCAAAGTGGCTTGTACCATTTTGGATTCCTATAGATTGCTCTCCTCACCAGAATTTGTGTCTGTCACTGTTTGGGATTTTAGCTGCTATAATAGATGTGTAGGGATCTCATTGCTTTATTTCTAATCCTTAATGACATGTTGAGTATCTTGTTCATATACTTAACTTGCCATACAGATGGCAATGCAGAGTATATTATCTTTAGTTAGGGTGTGTTAGTTTTTTACCAGCATCTTAGTTGGGTGGTTTTTATTGGTCTTAGAAAGGGATATGGGCCGGCATGGTGGCTGCAAGCCTGTAATCCTAGCACTTTGGGAGGCGAGGGCAGGCGGATTGCTCAAGGTCAGGAGTTCGAAACCAGCCTGAGCGAGACCGTCTCTACAAAAATAGAAATAAATATTGACCACTAAAATATATATACAAAAATAGCCGGGCATGTGGCGCATGCCTGTAGTCCAGTACTCGGGAGGCTGAGGCAGTAGGACGCTGAGCCTGGAGATTGGGTTGCTGTGAGCCAGGCCGACGCCAGCGGCACTCCACTCTAGCCTGGGCAACAAAGTGAGACTCTGTCTCATAAAAAAAAAAAAAAAGAAAGGGGATATAGAAAGGTTTGGTCTGTCTTAAGCTTCGATGATATGCAAATAAAGGATGGTGGGCTAATTTTTGAATTGTTTATATTTTATTTTTTGAAGGAAATAAACTTAAAGAGATACAAAGGGTATATAGTATATATTTTCCTTCCCATCCTGTGCCTCAGCTATTTAGTTCTTCTTGGGCAACCTTGTCATCAGTCTCTAACTTGTAGTAATTTTTAGTGTGTGTGTATAGTATATATATGTATGTATTAACAGACATTTTCATTTCTTATTAAAATACAACATGCTACAAATAACTACTGTTTATAGTACTTAAACATCCTAAAAATCATTTTATATCAGTATATAAAAACCTTTCTTTGTTTTTTTGATGACTGTAGTGCAGACGTATGTAATTTAACCTGTCCCTTACTGATAAATGTGTAAATTATTTCTAGTCTTTTGCTGTATAATGGTGAAATGAATTACCTTGTATATACTTTTTATTTTGTAATACATAAATTTCTCTGTAGGATAAATGGCAAGATAAATATGCATTTATAATTTATATCTAAGTGTAATTTTATTTAAAGTGGTTAATCCTTCATAGTGTTGCACAGCAACTGCTTCAAGTGCCATTTCCCCCTATCAGCCACACATAGGTTAGTAGGCAATCGTATTCCTTTACCGAATCCTGACAGTTAAAACCACACCAGCAAAAAAAATTCTTTTATGAGGTGGCCTGTCTTTGTGTTTAAGGGTATTTGGATTTCCTTTCTATGAGATTTCTTCATATCCCTCTTCCCCCATTTTTCTTGTTCTAAAAAAGAAAGTTTACTGGCTGCGGTGTGGGTGGATCACACCTATATCTGCACTCTGGAGCCAAGCGGAGATTGCTGAGTTCAGGGTGAGCTAGCCTGAGCAAAAGTGAGACCCCATCTCTACAAAAAGTGGAGAAGTTGGGCGTGGTAGCACATTCCTGTAGTCCCAGCTGCTCCAGAGGCTGAGGCCAGAGGATCTTTTTTTTTTTTTTTGAGACAGACTCTCCTTTGTTGCCAGGCTAGAGTGAGCTGCAGTGCATCAGCTACTCACAGCAACCTCAATCTCCTGGCTCAAGCGATCTCCTGCTCAGCTCCCGAGTAGTCGGACTCAGGCATGTGCCACCATGCACGGCTAATTTTTTCTATGTATAGTTTTTAGCTGGCCAATTTATTTTTTTCTATTATTAGTAGAGACAGGGTCTCGTTCAGGCTGGTTTCGAACTCCTGACCTTGAGCAATCGGTCTGCCTCGGCCTCCCAGAGTGCTAGGATTATAGGCTTGAGCCACCACGCCCGGCCTAGAGGATCTCTTGATCCCAGGAGTTTGAGGTTGCTGTGAGCTATGATGAGGCCACTCTTCTAGTTGGGGCGACAGCGAGACACTGTCTCAATAAAAGAAAAGTTGAATTATTAATGTGCCCATACCCACCACTTAGATTCTACATGTAACATTTTGCCATGCTTTTTCACATATTTGTCTGTCTTCCAATCTGACCTTTTGTTTTTATAAGTTGTAGACATACATATTTGACTCTTAAACTTTTTAACATACATGTCATTAGAGTTTTTTTCTTGGGGGAAAATTTACAGCAGGGTGAACAAATGAAGTGTACCATTTGATGAGGTTTTTTCTTTATTTTTTACTGCTTTCAGATTTTGAAAAAAAAATTTTTTTTTGAGACACTCTTCACTGTGTCACCCTAGTTACAGTGGCATCATCATAATCGTCATAGCTCACTGCAGCCTCAAACTCTTGGGCTCAAGCAATCCTCCTGCCTCAGCCTCCCAGGTAGCTGGGACTATAGACACAGACCACAAGCCCCTGCTAATTTTTCTATTTTTAGTAGAGCTGGGATCTTGCTGTTGATGAGGCTTGTCTCAAACTCCTGAGCTCACGTGATCCTCCCACCTCAGCCTCCCAGGGCCCTAGGATTACAGTCATGAGCCATCATGCCTGGCCTCTATTTGATGAGTTTTGCTAGATAGCTGTGTGACCAACCCCTAGGAAGCTGTGAGGCGCTTCCATTGCATCAGCATTTTTGTATCTGGTCAATTCCTACACCGCTCCTGCTCCTTCTCCCCTCCCCTTGCAGGCAGTCACTGTTAGGATTTTGTTCACCATAGATTAATTTTCCCTATTTTACAACTTCATAGAAATGGAATCATACAGTATGTATTCTTGTGTAAGTTTCTTTCACTCAGTGTGTTTCAATAGTCATCCATGTGTTTCAGTTCTTACTTTTTACTGCTGAGTAGTATTCCATTATATGAATATGCCACAATTTAACCCTTCACCTGTTAGGTGAACGGTTGATGGACAATGACTTTTCCCAGTTTTTTGCTATTATAAATAAAGTTGCTATGAACATCTTGTGCAAGCCTTTTCCTGGACCTACATTTGAATATATTTTGGGTAAATACTTAGGAGTGGAGTATCCTGAGTTGTAATATTGATTTAAATTTTACTAGACGTTGGCAGATCTTTTTCGTAAATGGTCATCCTATTTTACGTTCCCACAGAATTCCAGTAGGTCCACATCCTTACCATTTTGTTTTGTTTTGAGACACAGTCTCACTTTGTTGTCCAGGCTACAGTGAGTGCCGTGGCGTCAGCCTAGCTCACAGCAACCTCAGACTCCTGGGCTCAAGCAATCCTGCTGCGACCGGCCACATCCTTACCGTTTGGTGGTATCTGTACTTTTAGGTGTTTGGTGCTTTAGTCTGTAATTGTGTGTGGTGTTATCACGTGGTTTTAATTTGCTTTACCTGACGATTGATACTGAGCACTTTTTCAGAAGCTTATTGGCTATCCAGATATCTTCTTTAATGAAGCTGAATACCTGTTTCTTATTTATCTTAATTGGTTTTGCTATCTATTTTTTTTCTTACGTGTTGAAGAAAAAGGTTAACTTGTAGATTTCCATAATCTGAATTTTACTGATTGCCTCTGTTATGTTGTTTTTTGGCCACTTTTCTGTTGGATTTGGTCTTTTAACTAATTGGCAGGAGTCCTTTATTCCTGTGGAGAGCTTTATTTAAATACCTTTCCCCCCAGTTTGTCCTCTGTTTGTTCAGCATGGCACAAATATTAATGTGGCTGAATTCTCAAATCTTCCCTTTTTATGTTTTCTGGGTTTTGTATCAGGACATCTTAGTGGAATAACTCTGACATAAGGCATGCAGGCGTGTAACCATGGTAGACTCTAGAATACGGATGGACTCAGTCAAAGTCACAAGGATCACCAAGATACATTTAAGAATCTTAATTTGAAGCCCACAGGCAAAATTTTGCAAGTCTACTCAGAGACTTATGATCCCAAAACATAATTGGTTCCAGCTGAAACAAGGCTTTTAACGTTTCCTTCTATCACTTAACAGAAAGTAGCAGATATTTGTGAATAAAGAGCAAGAGCTAGAGAGACTGAGTTACTTACCATTTCTGATAGGCTGCCTGTAATTGCACTCATTCCTTGCCTCCTCATGAAAGCAAACTGGGGAATGCAAGTGATATTATGCTAGTTTTTAACCTCTAATATGTAAGATTATATTTGTGATAGACCTTGTAATTGAATATGATTGACTTTTGTGCCAGAAAGCAGCACCCCAGAATAAGGCATTACTGCTTCCTGGAGACCTAGACAGTATTTTTCACTGTATTTGAGGCCTCTTACCTCTTCTTTACTGTGGTTAACTATTTTTTTTTTTTTTTTTTTTGAGACAGAGTCTCACTTTGTTGCCCAGGCTAGAGTGAGTGCCGTGGCGTCAGCCTAGCTCACAGCAACCTCAAACTCCTGGGCTCAAGCGATCCTCCTGCCTCAGCCTCCCGAGTAGCTGGGACTACAGGCATGCGCCACCATGCCCGGCTAATTTTTTCTATATATATTAGTTGGCCAATTAATTTCTTTCTATTTATAGTAGAGACGGGGTCTCGCTCTTGCTCAGGCTGGTTTGAACTCCTGACCTTGAGCAATCCGCCCGTCTCGGCCTCCCAGAGAGCTAGGATTACAGGCGTGAGCCACCGCGCCCGGCCTTACTGTGGTTAACTATTAAGTCTTAGGGATCTGAAATCCTCAGCAATGCTTAGTGCTGCTTACTGGTTCTATTATTCTAGGTGTAGAAATTGTGCTTTTCAGGTACTTGGTTTCTGATTTGGTATATTAACCAGCATGCTTATGAAAATGTCTGCACAAAAGTAATTAGTATGTTAACAAAATCAACCTGTCATCAGGAATGTTGAGAATAGAAGATCTCAGTAATTGACAGTCTCCAAACCAAATGTCTGAGATATGCTACCTCTGATTTATTTATTTATATCAATATGGACTCGTGAATACTGATTTTACTTGGGTTGTAATCACATACTGCATTATTCATTTTGTTGCCCAGATTGTTTCATCTTTGGCCATTGGGAGTTTGTGAGTTGGCTTCTATATACCTTTGACTTGCCTACATCTTTTTGTCTATAGAGCACTTCTTTACTTTCTGGGATGCCCCAGAATCAGCCATTTCTCTAAGGAGCCCTGGTTCCTTGCACTGGAGAATGGTATTAGAAAACAAGATCTGGGCATTGAGTGTGCCCACTGCTGCTGAGGTATCTGCGGCTAGACCCTTTCAGCGAAGAGTTATATATGTGTGTAATAACCCAGATATACACACATCTGTAATTACCTTCTGTAGCCATCTAGAAAGCAGTTTTTAAAAACTGGTAAAATATATTTACCATTTTAACCATTTTAAGTATATAGTTCTGTGGCATTAAGTACACTTGGTTGTGTAGCCATCACCACCATCCATCATTGGAATTTTTCATGTTCCCCAACTGAAACCTTCTGTTCTTCCCTTAGCCCCTGGGAATCACCATTCTACTTTCTGTCTTTATGCTTTTGACTACTCTAGGTACCTTATGTAAGTGGAGTCATACAATACTTGTCTTTATTTTACTTATGTAATGTTCTCAAGGTTCATCCATATTATAGCATGTGTCAGAATTTCCTTTGTTTTAAAAGCTGAATAATATTCTACTTTTATGTGTATGCCACATTTTGTTTATCTGTTCAACCACTGATGACACTTGGGTTGCTTCTGCCTTTTGGCTGTTAAGAATAATACTACTATCAACATGGGCACAATCATCTGTAGGAGGGAGTCCCTAATTTCAGTTCTTTTGGGCAATATACCCAGAAATGGACTTCTGGGATCACATGATAATTCTATTTTCATTTCTTAAGAAATTGCCATGCTATTCTCCACAGCTGCTGTACCCTTTTACCTTCCCACCAAGAGTGCACGAGTTCCAATTTCTCCACATTGTCACCAGCACTTGTTTTCTGTTTTGATGGTAGCCATCCTAATGAGTGTAAAGTGGTACCTCATTGCAGTTTAGATTTGCACACTTCCCTAATGATTGATGTTGAGCTTTCTATGTACTTACTGGGCATTTGTATATCTTCTGCAAGAAATGCCTATTCCAAGTATTTTGCCCATTTTTTCATCAGGTGTTTTCTATTGTTGAGTTGTGGAATCTCTTTATATATTCTGGATATTAGAGCAGATATATGATTTGCAAACATTTTTTTCCCATTCCTTGGGTTGCCTTTTCACTCTGCCGAGTGTCCTTTGATACAAAAATCCAGCTATTTCTTGTCGCCTATGCTTTTGGTGTCAAATCTAAAAAATTGCCAAATTCAGTGTCAAAAAGTGTTCCTTCTGCATTTTTGACTAATAGTTTTATAGTTCTAGCTCTTAGGTTTCTGACCTATTTGAAGTTAATTTTTGTGTACAGTGTAAGGGTCCAACTTCATTTTTTTACATATTTCGATTTTTGAAATACTATATATTGAAAAGACTCATTTCCTCACTGTTCTTGGCACCCTTGTCAAAAGTCATCTGCCCATACATATAAGGATTTATTTCTAGGCTCTTTATTCTATTCCATTAGTTTATGTGTTTATCTTTGTGCAGTGGCATGATCGCCGCTGACTGCAGCCTCAAACCCCTGGGCTCAAGTGATCCTCTTACTTCAGCTGCCCAAGTAAGTGGGACTAGAGGCATGCACCATGCCTGGCTTTGCTTTCAAATTTTTTAAGAGATGAGATCTCACTATGTTGCCAGTCTGGCTTTGAACTGGCTTCAAGCTGACCTCTCACTTCTTAGCCTCCCAAGTAGCTGGGATTACAGGCATGAGCCACCCTGCCTGGCTGTAGTTAAGTTTTGAAATCAGGATGTATGTGACCTCCAGCTTTATTATTTTTAAAGATTATTTTGACTATATGGGGGTCCCTTGAGGTTCTGTATGAGTTTCAAGGTAGAATCTTCCATTTCTGCAGAAAAGCTGGGATTTTTATAGGGATTATATTGAATCTGTAGATCACTTTGGGTAATACTGGTATCTTAACAATTAGTCTATGAACATGTGACGTCTTTTATGTCTTTTAGCTTTGCATGACTACATTTTGTAATTTTCATTGTATAAGTCTTGCCTCTTTGATTAAGCTTATTCCTAAATACTTCATTCTTGATGCTATTATAAATGGTGGAAAGCACAATTTTTAAGGAAGATGGGTATACATATCTTGCTTTTGTGTGAAGCTGCACTAACTACAGATCTTTGGGTTTTGTTTTTAAAAAAAACTTTTCTTTAAAGGCTATAGTGGCCAGCCGTAGTGGCTCACATCTATAATCCTAGCACTGTGGGAGGCAGAGGCAGGAGGATCGCTCATGGTCAGGAGTTCGAAACCAGCCTGAGCAAGAGTGAGACCCTCATCTCTACTAAAAATAGAAAGAAATCAATTGACCAACTCAAAATATACATATAAAAGAAAAAACCTAGCCAGGCATGGTGCCGCATGCCTGTAGTCCCAGCTACTTAGGAGGCTGAGGCAGCAGGATCACTTGAGCCCAGGAGTTTGAGGTCACTGTGAGCTAGGCTGATGTCACGGCACTCTAGTCAGGGCAACAAAGTGAGACTCATGTCTCAAAAACAAAATAAAATAAAGGCTAAATAGCTATATGTTCAATTTTAAGTAAAATCTCAGGTGACTATTACTCCATTTTATGAAGCTGCCTATTTTAGATTTAAAAGTAATTATTAAATAACTTTTACTAATTTAGGATAATTCCCATTTTATCCATTTTTGTTCCCCACATTATGTGCACCACCTAAAAGAGTGCTGGCTCCTAAGGTGAACAAAAAATGAGAATGGACTCTCAAAAATATTATTTAGGGGTAAAAAAGACAACAAACTAGGCTAGAATTATTAGATTTTATTTTTACCTTGTATTCTTCAACTTCACTAAGTAACAGGCCAGACTTCCGGAATAACAACTCTTCCCCAGGCTGTAGCCCTTTCTAGGAGACAGAATTTATCAAATAACATGGTTCCAGATGTTTCCACCCCAGAATTCTAAACTAGTCACAAGAATCGTATCTTCTTGGATCTTCATTGTAATCACACAATTGAGACACATGCAACATAATCAAAATAGTATATACCATTTCTTTCCTTCCCTTGCTGAATACACTTCCTCCTTCCCCCAAAGAGTTTGTTACTGAGATGTTTGAGCACGGTCAGCTCTCCACATCCATCTATAGATTCAAACCAAGTGCTGATTAAACATAGGTGGAAAAATAATTCCACAAAGCTCCAAAAGAGCAAACTTTAAAACACCAAGTGCACCAAGGCCTATGCTCAAGCCACACAGATGAAATGATGTGTAGGCATTGCATTCAGTAGTGTAAGCAACCCAGAGATGATTTGAAGCATGTAGGTCAGACGCAAATACTGCGCCACTTTATGTAAGGGACTTGAGCACTCGTGGAACCCCCATGGGTAATGGGGGTGACTGCACTGCCCTTTCCGAGAAGCCTGTCTACCAGCTCTGATTTGGGGCTCAGAATAAGGAATCCTTTATTCAAGAAATAATCTGATAGTCTGAGCTAATTGTTCTCAGCCATCAACAAATTAAACTTGTTTTACTCTATCCCTGACTTGACTTTGTTTTAAACAATATTTGCTGTTTGGAAAAGTCAAACCCTATCTTTAAAACAATTTCCATTATAATTTACGAGGAGGGAGGAGCCAGCTGGTTTGTGGTAGGAGATTCTGAAAAGGGCAGATAGTTACTTTTGAAGTCATTAAATAGAAAAATGACAAATATTCTTCTAATAATGAAAACCTTTGTAGGCCAAGACCAGGATATTCTGGTCCTGAAATTATAATATATTACAATATTGTTTTCAATACATTCAGAATTTATATTATTCTTTAGTTTCTTTTCCCTGAGTTTGAGTTCACAGTTTGGTAGAGATACTTAAAGAGGTAGTTGGTGGGGGTGAAGAGGAAACAAAGTTGTCTAACAGCACCTGGGAAAATATGTAACATCTGTCATTTTGATCTCAATGAACATTTCTTTGTCTCCGTTGACTCTGCAAATGCAACAGGGAGACGATCATCTTCCTTTTTATTCTTACCTGCTTGGACTCTATTACTTCCCCCCCCCCCAGTAGTATTAACTCTACTCATAAAAATGAATAGCCTTTCCAAAGATAGGCTATAAAATACACCCTTCAAAGTGGGGCTGTTTAGATTTAGAAGCCTCGGCTGAGTAACTTTTATTCATACAGTCATTAGGGAAAATGAGCAAAATTTCTAGCACCCCCAACTGCCTTTCTCCCTGGACCTAGTTTACTTAAATCATTCCTGTCAACTGTCTAGTTGATTCTAAGGCCTGGGCATTAGGGGACGCTGACGTCTAACACAGGGGGAGAATGGCCCTGCGTGAACATGCGGGTCCAGGTCTCAGCCTCCAGTCTTAGGACGGGCTGGTGGAATACTGCTTCATCAAATGCTTGTGACAGGGATTGCAAACTCGCTCAGGCTTGATACTTGAAGGAAGAGGCAGTTCATTTGTTGAACAGGCATCGCAGAAGGTTCCTGTGCAGTTCTTACACACATTCTGCAAAGAGAAGAGCAGGTTAGGTGGGAAACTGAAGAGGAGCAAGGCATAAGGATGCATGGGTTATAACGGGCCAAATACAGTAAATACTCAACGCCTCATCAAGTATTGACTGAATGTTTGCTATGTGCCAGGTAGTATCTGATCAAACGCTGTCCCAATCTACAACGAAACTCAGTCTAATTCTTTTATTCATTTATTTTTTTAAGACAGAATCTCGCTTTGTTGCCCAGGATAGAGTGAGTGCCGTGGCAAATGTCAGCCTAGCTCACAGCAACCTCAAACTCCTGGGCTCAAGCAATCCTCCTGCCTCAGCCTCCCGAGTAGCTGGGACTACAGGCATGCGCCACCACGCCCGGCTAATTTTTTTCTATATATATTAGTTGGCCAATTAATTTCTTTCTATTTATAGTAGAGACGGGGTCTCGCTCTTGCTCAGGCTGGTTTTGAACTCCTGACCTTGAGCAATCCGCCTGCCTCGACCTCCTACAGTGCTAGGGTTACAGGGGTGAGCCACCGCGCCCGGCCAGGCTAATTCTTAAATGTAAATGAAAAGCAGCAGCAGAATTCAAAAGGATAAAACACAAACTAAGTTCATCTTTGGAATACATTTCACACTTCTGTTCCCTATATTCACTTTTAGGTAGGCGAATTCTAAAACTAGCTTGCAAGGACCTAAGTATACTTCAAATAAGTCAGTGAACTGGCAGTGGATTGGGATGGACGTCCTAGGATTCAAAAACCTTGAGTACAAACTGAAAGTACAATTCCTACTACCCTGACGTGCGTGATGCTTCCCTGTGGCGCTCTGCAAGCGCCCCGCGGGACCGGACGTCTGTGCCGCAGGGCTCAGCTTCCCACTCCCGCGTGAACGAACCTCCAGCGGCCAAGCCCAGGAAAGCGCACGGTCACTGAGGCAGAGGGACTGGCCGGCTGTGACGCATGTGTGCACGCAGGGCTCAAGGGTCCTCTATGAAAGGCAGTGAAGGACGATTTCCCCTGTGAAATGCTACTTTCACCCCAAATAATTCATCTGCCTGAGCGTACAGAAGAGTAGGGGGACACTTTTATTTGCCTGAAAAGAATTTTCCTCTGACATACTGAAGTTATTTTGCATGGCTCAGAAGAGAAAAACCAGAATTAGATTAGCAGTTTCTTCTATTTTAGAACATATTTCTATAATAACAACTTCTAATTCTATAAAGATGGTTCATCTGATTCTGTGAATTTAAGACTAGGTCATATTATAATTTTACTTGTTAAAACTCAGCATGATCACAAGTGGTGGCGTGTGGGTTGTAATCTAGAATTTGAGCACATCTCCTGTACCTCTTCCAAGCACTGTTTCATACATTCATTTCTGCATGCCATTTCTTGGGCATCTACTGTGGACTGAGTACCATATTAGACACTGGGGGATACCACGGTGAGTCAGACGCAGTTGCAGCCATCAAGAGCACTCGTTCCTTCCGAACGCTTCCTTCACTCCGCCTGCTCTAGGGCAACGCACTGGGAAGGGGCTCGGCCAGAGACTCGAGGATGCGCGAGGAAAGCAAGTGGTCTGTGGGGAGCACCTTTCCGTGTGTTCCGAGCAGGAGGCAGGGCTCGGACTGTACACTTTGGAGCCAAAGCCAGGTTGAAACTGGACTTCACCACTTATGACTAGAGTAACTTTGGGAAATGCACTTAAAATCTCTGAGCCCAAGGTTCTTCATTTATAGCACGACAGCTACAAAGGACGTAAGCTTCGCGAGGACAGAGACTTGGTCTACTTTGTTCATCACTCTTTCTCTAGCACACAGGACAGCACATTCTACACAGTGGGCACTCAATAAATATTTATAAATTTATTTCTGCTTATTTGTTTTAAACTGTGTGTATAGTTATTTGTTTTTATTTTATGGGGATTTACTGACATGAATGATGATGACTGAAAAAGAACAGGTGTCTGGTAAGTGCTTGCTCCTGCTTTTCACCCTACCCGGCGCTGGGAGTCCACCCTGCACCCCACACGGCCAGGCCCCTGGCATCCCCGGGAAGTGAGTGGTACGGTGGGCGGCACCTATGAGGAACTCTTCCTTTCTCACCACGGTTACCTTTGATGGGCCGCCGTCTTCGTGGCATAGCTGACACACCTGTGGCTTTGCAGGGAGCAGTGGCTGATCCTAAACCGCAATGAACCAATCAGTATCCCTTAGTGCGTGAAACATTAATACTTTCAGAAAATGCATCTTCTAGCAACAAAATTAATATCACCACAATACAGACCATGTAGAAACTAAACAAATAAATTACATATATAATCCTACCCCCTTATATAACTCTGATAATCTTATCATTAGCCTTCTACTTTTAATTTATATTTATGCAAGTAACATGTAATTTTATTTCTAAAAAAAATTGAGGCATATAAAAGTGCTAAGTAAAAAGTTTTAAAAACTGTCCAATCCCAGCTGTGTGAGGTGGCTCATGTCTGTAATCCCAACACTTTAGGAGGCTGGCGTGGGAGGATTGCTTTAGGCTAAGAATTTGAGATCAGCCTGGGCAACATAGTAAGACACCCATCTCTACAAAAAATTTTTTTTTAAATTAGCTGGATGTGGGCATGGTGGTATGCACCTGCAGTCCTTGCTACCCATGGGAGGCTGAGGTGGGAGGATCACCTGAGCCTAGGAGTTCGAGGCTGCACTGAGCTATGATCACACCACTGCATTCCAGCCTGGGTGACAGAGTGAGACCCTGTCTCTAAAAACAAAAAATACAACTGTCCCAACCCTCTTGTTTCACTCTACCATTGAGAATGGAAAGCAATAGGCTTTATTTTATATCCCAATAGTTAAGTGACGGGCTGATGCAGACATAGTTGTATTTATCGTCTTTCTCATGGGCTTGTCATACACTATTATATTTGCAAAATGTACACAACCATTTATGTTACCTTATTTCTAAGTGATCAAAACATTTTCCCCCCTCATTTTATATAAGGGAGGTAAAGTGAGCTCTCTTAGATCTCATGTCAGAGATAATTTCAAATAAGTGGTAACTGCTATTTACTAAGCAAATTGTTCAAAGCTGGGCTACTTCCTGCGAGAGCTTTAGGCAACACATGTTTGTTCAGGGTATTGTTAAAAAGATGCCACACAGAGAACTATACCCATTCATCCTCCCATGTTTACTGGCTAGGCATGGTACAGTCAACTTCTTAATTTATACAAGACGTTTTAAAACAAGAGGCTCTGTTACCTGTTCATCCATAGGGTGAGACTGCAGCCTATAATTAAAAACAGTAACAAATACCAACTTAGTATACTTTTGTTTCTATCATCTCAATAAAAAGCTCAGAAGACATACACTTTGTCAACTAGGTAATGCTGTAGTTGTTTTATATGGTTTGGGAACAACATAATTAATTATTCATTTTGACCTCAAAGGAGAAGAAATTTTGGTGGTTAAATCTGTAACTAGAATCTGACTCTTGGACCTACACTATGGTTTCCACTTAAAAACAGATTTAGAGTAATACTTTACATTTCCTTTTATTATCAAGAAAATAGCATTTATGTTTTCCAACGTGTAAAACTCCAATGGCCCATTGGCCATATATTTTAGTAGCTTTTAAAATATCTGATATTATGGAAATCTATCATTATCACATGTCATGTGTTAGTTCCCTCTCCAAAATATTCTTAAAATGTGAGCTTTAGCAAATTCATCAAGGAAAGGGAATGAATGAGATTGTCATGAAAACCCATGTTGAAATATTTCTGCATGAGACTAACTTGAGCTAACCTTGATTTTCCTAACATAGAGTCTAAACAAGAGAATCAAAGCACACGCTTGGTTATGGGGAAAATGCACCACAGATTACAATGGTTCCTACTCTTTGGTCAAGTGGCAGTGTGACCACCAGACATATACCATGGGGTGACCAGGTTTTCAGATGTTTCTTGGACCACAAGAGAAAGTCCCGGGAGACTGGTATGTCTTACGATTCCAGTTCTGGCCAGAATAGGTCCTGGAAGCTGCTGTATTATGTAGTGCAGAGACAAAGGACTTAAAAACAGAAGACATGCTAAGTAGAGGCAATCTGGGTATGTCACCCAGACTCTGTGTGCTCCTCAGGTCTCTCATCTGTAAAGTAGGAATAGATATATTTTTGTAAGGAGACAGTGAATGTGGAACTGACTTTATAAGCTGCTGAGCACAGTACAGATATACGGAAGTATTATCCTATATTCCCAGGGCCTAAATCAGAACTTGACATTTAATAGATACTCCTGATTGTCCAAATAAATGATTTCGTTTTAGTCTGGAACTAGGCTGACCCTGAAAGGCACTTGGAAGCCCTGGTTAATTTTATGGCCTTTCTAGTTCCCTTCCCTGTGCCCATGCCAATCTGTAATGTCAGATGGGCTGTAGTTCAAGGTTAGTTAACCATGCTCACTGGGAGCAAAATTAAAGACTTCAGAATCATTCTGGCCTTTGAGGCAAGGGAGGGACATTTAAGGACCTGCGCAATGACCCCGCTGTTGGACTGTGTGATTTCTCTTTTCTAGCAGCTACTTTTGCTCCAGATGGCATACTGCACACGCCTCATTCTTCAGGCAATAAAGCCCAGACAGGGACAGCTGCCCCAAATGCACACTGTACACTGTTCTCTCAAAATCCCTCTATGGGACCATTTCTCACCACTAACCGCTTGCCCTACCTTTTATTTATTTACTTTTTTTAATTTTTAATTTTTTTTTTTTTTTGAGACAGAGTCTCACTTTGTTGTCTAGGCTAGAGTGAGTGCCGTGGCATCAGCCTAGCTCACAGCAACCTCAAACTCCTGGGCTCAAGCAATCCTCCTGCCTCAGCCTCTCGAGTAGCTGGGACTACAGGTATGTGCCACCATGCCCGGCTAATTTTTTCTATATATTTTTAGTTGGCCAATTAATTTCTATTTATAGTAGAGACGGGGTCTCGCTCTCACTCAGGCTGGTTTCCAACTCCTGACCTTGAGCGATCCTCCCGCCTCGGCCTCCCAGAGTGCTAGGATTACAGGCGTGAGCCACCTCGCCCGGCCTTGCCCTACCTTTTAAAATAGATTTTTATTTTTAGAGCAGTTTTAGGTTCACAGCAAAATTAAGTAGAAAGTAGACAGATTTCCCTTATACCTCCTGCCCCACCCCTAGCCTCTTTATAAACTCCCCCCACCAGAGTGGCACATTTGCTACAACTGATCAGCCTACCCTAACATGGCAGTATCACCTGGAATCCATGGTTTATACGGGGCTCACACTTGGTGCTGCACGTTCTATGGGTCTGGACAACTGTATAATGACATGTATCTACTGTTACAGTGTCATACAGAATAGTTTCACCGCCCTAAAAGTTCCCCTATGCTCTGCCTGCTCATGCCCACCTTCCTCTAACCCCTGGCAAACACTGACATTTTTTTTTTTGCCGCCTCTATGGTTTTGCCTTTTCCAGAATGTCATATAGTTGGATCCCCTTCATTTTTTAATGCAGTGGCACTATGCAATACTTTGTTATATTTCTAGCCTCCTAAAATAACTGTTAAAAGTCAGCTTCCTTGAAATAACCCTATACTCTTCACAGTGAGCAAATCAGCTGAAGAGTTAAGATAAAGGAATGAAGTTAAGCTGTTTGAGATTCTTATGAAAAGGAGAAATGAGGAAAGGGAAATGAGAATACCTATTTGAAATTTAACAGACTTGTGGAAACAAGTCATAGTCAAATCCACTGAGAACCTAGGACATGCTATGACTTACGCTTCATTCTCTTGGAATACTATTTAGGTAAAGGTGAGAAATGATCTTTTAAGTGATAATTTGAGTTTGAGGATTAATCAGGGAAGAGTCAGAGGACAACCTGATCACCTTTCTTTCTTCTGAAATGGCCTAATGGGTTTGCTTTAATACATATTATATGGTTTATGATTTATTCATTTTTCCCTTCAAAATGTCTTTGTTTTTTCTTTTTTAGAAAGCTTAGCAAGTTATTAAGATGTCTTTCTGGTATATTAGTATTGTTAATATAAGTCAGTGTTTGGTTTGTGTCAATGTCAACGTTTACCAAAATCTTCCTGTTTCCCATCACTCCAAGATAACTCTACATCTTAAATACTAAGTTAAATATTTAATTAACAAATACCTGTGGTTTTCTTCCAGGGACTTTTTTAGTTTAACATTTTCCTCTTGAATTTTGTGCTTCCCGTCCTGCCAAAAGAAAACAGCCCAATTTATTAATTATTCAGAATGGCAAACGACGATGATGTTACAGACATTTTACAATGCCTCAGTTTGGGTATAAAGCTAAGAAGCATTATAAAGGACGACTAACTTTCAAGCATGTTTCCTCCTCATTCTTTGCTCCAACTAGTGTCTTAACTACTCTGATTAAGTTTGCAACTTATTATTTTCAGAGTAGATATTTTCTTAAATTCCTGAGATTCAAAGAAAGCTTAGAATGTATTATATATTCTTGCAAAGTGGGCTCAAGGTATCAAAGTTACTTCTTATGAGAAATACAATGTTTTTCCTGAGTGAGCTCTGAAAAACTGGTAAAGCCAAGCATGGCCATGTCTAGTAGACTGTATAATCCTCTGGACACTAATCCAGTGGATGCCCCAAAGCTACAACTTCTCCACCCTGTACAACTCAAGTTTTCTACTCTGAAGGAGCAATGTAAAGTTCTAAATTACACTTCTGCCAATACTCTTAAACCCTGCCTGGAAGTCTTTGGGGACAAATTCTTTCTGTGGCATACACACACTGCTGCCTGCCTTGAAATGCTGCCCATCTGCAACAGTGGAATGTGTGTGGGGGGTGGTGGAGGGGGGGTGTTTCTCTTTTGGAGATGGGGTCTTGCTATGTTACCCTCAAACACCTGGGCTCAAAGGGTCCTCCCGCCTCAGGCTCCCGAATAGCTGGGGTTACAGGAATGTGCTGCTGTGCCCAGCTTGAGTGTGTGTTCTTAGATCACTCAGGTATCAAGGAAGAGAGGTCAGCGCAGTATTTACCAAAACTCCACTGTGGGGAAATGAAAAACTGGAAAACTTAAAGCCTTATAGAAAAATAGGTAAGATGGGCCAAGATTTTAAGTAAATCTCTGTAAACCCTTTAGATTTCATGTTCACTAATCTGAAATTAAAAAAGACAGTGTGCTACACAGAGTAGTTCTTTGTGCTTCAAATAATCAGTTAATAGGTACTATATATGTCCATGAACCATTCTTTTCTACTCTCCAGCAAATCAGCAGCTTACTCTCTAGAAATTTTAAATAAGAAACTTATGAATTTGCCCTGTTTTGTTATATATAATAGGTACATGAAGAAGGCGATTTTCCCCATGTTTGTCTGCACTATTTGAAGAAGGTGGCTGCTGCCTCCTGGGTTCCAGACACGACCTTATGCAATTTTGGCTCCTTCACGTCGACAGGTGCTGGAAGTCTCTCCTTTGAAAACCGTTCTGCAGAAATATCTACTTTTGCTCTTTAAACCACTCTATTTCACTTTCCCTTCCTCAAACCAAGTCTCCTCTCTTTCTACTGATTCCCATGAGAAGTTTCTTGTACATACTCAAACTGAAATCCTCATGATTTTGAAAAAGATACACACAAACAAATCCACATTTAAGAAAATTCTGTTAAAGGAGAATTCAGGGGTTAGGGAGGGATTATTGTACCATATTATTATTATTATTTTTGAGACAGAGTCTCGCTTTGTTGCCCAGGCTAGAGTGAGTGCCATGGCGTCAGCCTAGCTCACAGCAACCTCAAACTCCTGGGCTCAAGCATTTAAATGATAATGTTGCCACTTAGTGGCTTAACTGTATGATTTGGACACATTTAACCCCTTTGAGCTTTAATTTCATCTGAAAGTGGGGGCAGTAACATCACCTACTAGGGCCGATGTGAAGATATCAGGAGAGACTGCATGTGAAGTGCTTTGTAATGTATCTGGCACACAGTAAGAATTCCAGAAATATTAACTTATTATTAGTGTTTTGTTGGCTACTGATTACTATTTATCTGGGACCCTGAGCTCTAATTTCCTACTTTGTTGATCACAAAGGATGTTTATAGGTCTTGGGGAATGGTGATGTGTGCCAAGCTTTCTGGATTCCAGTCCCACAGGAAGGTTACCGTAAAGACAGAGCTGACGGCCAACAGTCCCGGAACCCCTTCCCTGCAGTCTAGCCTGAGAAATCCCCATGACCACCCTGCAAGCTCAGGCTGCCCCTCTTCACCC